AGCAGGAGGGGAGCGACCTTGATAGGCGAAGTTGGAGCGATGGCGACATTCGATGGCGGTGTGGTTGGGTTTGTTGCAAATTTGACATCTGATTTTAGGGGTTTGACGGAAGCGATTGTGGGATGGGTGGGAAAAGGTATTGGGCTGAGAGAGGTAAGGTGGAGTAGATGGGGTGGGTAGGAGAGGTGGGTTGGACGTGTATTTGGGAGGATTTGGGCCGGGAGAAGGGCGGGAAGAGGTGGGCCTGAAATGAACAGAGGTATGAAAGGCCTGAAAAGGGGCAGATGAGTTAGAAATGGGATTTAGGGTGTCACGTTGTAAAATTTCAATCTCTTCACTAATCAGGAGACCATGAAGAGCATCAGGGTCGATGGGGTCAGAGCGGACTCTGATCGAAGTACCAAAAGAGTCATACTCAGGTGGGAGGCCACGAAGAATGTGAGCAATAAGGTCAAGATCGGCAAGGGGAGCCCCGGCGGCGGCTAGACCGTCGGCAAGAGCCTTGATTTTTTCAAGATAGAGCATCATCGGGTCAGATCCCTTTTTCAGGGTTTGGAGCTGACCCTTAAGCTGAAGGATATGGGAGCGAGTGATGGCAGAGAAGCGTTTCTCGAGGTTGTCCCAGAGAGATTGGGCGGAGGAGCAACCGACTGTATAAGGGAGAACAGACTCAGAGATGGCAGCATGGAGCCAAATTTTGCAGGTACGATCTCTGGCAACCCATGTAGGATAAGCGGGATTAGATTCAAGGGTAGGAAGAAATTGGGGTGGGCATTGGTCAGAACCATCAAGAAGGCCATAGAGGTCAGCATTCTGCAGAATGGGAGTGAAGAGGGATTTCCAGAGAAGATAGTTATCTCTGTTGAGTTTGACAGGGATGAGAGTGGCGATGTGGTGGGAGGGAATGGCAGAAGCCGAAAAAGTAGAGAGAGAAGAAGAGGAGGAAGAAGAGGAAGGAAGAGGTAGAGAGTCAGAGGAGGCCATAGGATAGTACCGTAGGGTTTTAGGCGGCTGATACCATGTGAAGAATTAAGAACAGAGTAAAAGAAAGGTTGGAATTGTATATTTCATTGATACTTGTACAGTGAGAGTACCACTGTTTATATACACTTGAAAAGAATAATCTGGAATAGAATTGGTTACAAAGAATATGGAGATGATGACAGGTGTAGGATGGATATATGACTAGTAAGTTCCTTCTCTTCTAGAATATTGCTGAGCTGGAGATTGTATGCATTGGATTTGCTGTGTATTTGCACCTATGATTGTGTACTCTGTTTATCAATTGTCTCATCTCATGCAGCTTTATTCCATAAATATATATATTTTTTCTTTGAAAGAGCTTATATTAAATTGGCCATGGCAGGCTCCCCACTACCATTCCCTCACCAATATGTCTAACCGAAGTCTCCGTCTCCTGCTCCTCCTCTTCGTCCTCCTTCTTCCTCCATTAATTCATTCACAAACGAATTCTGATTGCACCCTTTCTTGTGGTAATATCAACATAAGCTCTCCATTTCGAATAAAAGGAGATCCTCCACACTGTGGTAACCAAACGTATGAGCTATCTTGTGAGACAAATACTACTAGTACATGTATGACAATATTATACTTGTATTCAGGAAAGTATCACGTACGGGCTATCCATTACAACAACTTCACCATCCGACTTGTGGATGCTGGTGTTGTTGATCAGAAGAAGAAAAAGAAAGACAACAAGTACTACTTCTCCAACCCAACTCACTCTTTAACCAGCTTCAACTTTAGTTATGGAGATCCTATACCACTTTAGAAGGTAACTACTACAAGCGAGAAGATGAAGAATTCATAGTGCCTATAGTTTCTCTCAGCGGTGCAAAACCAATGGAAACAGCTCCATGCTCCTCTTCTTCCAATATTTCCAATACTAGTAATTTAATAAGCATGTATTCTTATTTCATGGTTGGCTTGAATGGCTTCATAAGTTCATTGGCTCTTGGGGAGACCTGCAAAATAACACAAATGGTTATGGCCTCAACTTCAAGATCAGATTCAGACGACTATTTGAGCTCATGTGAAGCCATATATAATCTAATAGCGCAGGGCTTCCAACTCTCATGGGTTGAAGAACGATGGTGCTTACCAAATTGCACAATATGCGTGGGTGACATCAACGACTGCTTGGGGCGGCATGGGAGACACCAAAGTACACCTATATTCTATTTTCTTTCTGACAAAAAAATAAATAGAAGGAGCCTGCAGTAAGATCAATCAACTTTTCTTTTTCTTCTATTCAATATGCTAATATTGTTGTTTGTACTCCTTTGCAATGATGTAGAAGTTTGGTACAAGAAGGTCATACTGTTCATACTCTTTCAATTAGGTAAGTGTCTCTCCTTCCTCCCAGATAAACCAGTTTCCGTTATCATAAAACCTGAATTAGATCGAATATTTCTACATGACTTGTGTTGCAGAAAGACTTATCGCCCCTCTATATTCTTTCTTCAACTTAAGCAGCGTGACTTTACGAATTATTGGGAAATTTATCCATCTCGGTTTGTGCTCTGTTTAATCAGTTACCTCAGTAAGAGACTATTTATATATTTACATATATGTATATTGTTTGTCTTGTTGATCGTTGAAACACAAAGTCATCATATATAAGCCGATTTTGAAATATTCGATTTTACAAACATGACCATATGGCCAAACAGGACTTTACCAAGCAGCAAAGTTTTTATTTGGCTATCCCTGTCTAGCTGCGTTACTGATATACAAATGGCGAAGGAGACACTTGTCCATGTACGACAATATAGAAGAGTTTCTGCAGAGCAATTGTAATCTCATGCCAGTGAGGTATTCTTACTCGGACATCAAAAAAATGACCAGAGGTTTCAAGGAAAAATTGGGTGAAGGAGGCTATGGCACTGTATACAAGGCAAAACTCCGTAGCGGTCATTTTGTAGCCGTCAAGATGTTGGGTAAGTCCAAAGCTAATGGCCAAGAATTTATCAACGAAGTTGCTACAATCGGAAGAATTCACCATGTTAACGTGGTACAACTTATTGGCTTTTCTGTTGACAGTTCAAAACGTGCTCTTATATATGATTTCATGGCCAATGGATCACTTGAAAAATATATATTTTCTCAATCAAGATCAGGAGTACTTATCTCCTTAAGTTATGAGAAAATGTTTCAAATTGCGCTCGGAGTGGCTCGTGGTATTGAATATCTCCATCGAGGATGTGACATGCAAATTTTGCACTTTGACATCAAGCCTCATAACATTCTTCTGGATGAGAATTTTACTCCCAAAGTTTCTGATTTTGGGTTAGCAAGGCTATGCCCATTAGACAATAGCATTGTGTCTTTAATTGCAGCAAGAGGAACCATAGGATACATAGCTCCCGAGTTATTCTATAAAAACATTGGAGGTGTTTCATATAAGGCCGATGTATATAGTTTTGGAATGTTATTGATGGAAACTGCTGGAAGAAGGAAGAATTTAAATGCAAGCATAGAGCATTCGAGTCAAATCTACTTTCCGACGTGGGTTTATGACCAATTGAGTGAAGGAAATGACATAAACATGGGAGACGCCACTGAGGAGGAAAATAAAATCATAAGGAAGATGATCATAGTGGCATTGTGGTGCATACAAATGAAGCCTAGCGAACGTCCTTCAATGGATAAAGTGGTAGAGATGCTTGAAGGGGAAATCAAGAGCCTCCAAAACCCTTCTTATATCCACAAGAAACGCCATTAGAGAATGTTGGGGAGGGCACTTCAAGTAATGCACCTGCATCAGAATCTACGGCAATCAATTTGATTGCAGGTGCAAATTGACAATTGAGTGAGTGTATGTCAAGGCAAGGGCAACTAGTTTGTTTTCTTATTTTCTTTCATAAGATTGAGAATGAGGTTTCTCTTTCTAAAACATGGACTTGTTTTGATCCGAATTCCACAGCCCAAAAGCCCAAAATAGATGGGCCTAGGGTTACATTTGTTTTACACGCATCGACCTATAATTGTCAAGACAAAATCGAGAGGAAAGTCGATCGATTCGTCACTAGATTGAGATTCCTTGAAAAGGACACAAGCACTCATTCAGCATGGCCAATTTTTGTCTTGAAAAGCTGCCCTTCCGTACGTGACACGTGATTGATGAATGCATGATTTTTTTTTTTTGCTAACAATTATTGATAGCGATCAACTACCACAAACCAAAATATAAGGAATCATTCTAACAATGACAATTTATATAAAAGTCTTTAAAGAACTTATTTGGAGAAAACAGTCGTCAACTAGCTACTTGTTATTTTCTCACTACTTTTTCGTGTGTTATAATTCTCTTCACTTGAAAATACAGCATGAAATTTTTGCAAAGTATCGAACTTCAATAATTTTTTTTATAAAATATCATGTAAGAATGGGCCTATTTGTAAAAAGTTATTTAATTTATTAAATGTGAAAAAGATATTTGCTTACAACTTCTGTCGTAAAAGATTGCCCTACTTTATTAAACAACACAACAATTATTTGGTGACCATGTGTTGTGTCTCCCCCCCGGCAAAGCTAAGATATTTTTTTATTCCAACCCCTCGCTACACGGGAATTAATAATAGTTTTTATCCCTTACTAAATATTTAACTCTCCAAGCCCGACACGATAATCGGCAACAACACAAGGTACGAGGTCCAACTCCGACACGTGTCGCCACATTTTTCACAAGTCAACATTCTTGTCAGAGGACCGAAACATACTGTGGAAAAGTAAAAGAGCAATTCACCACCGCATTGCCTGACGAACCGCCACGTACTCATATCTAGAGGAGACCACAACTGAGCCCCCACCTGCATAAAAATCTTCCACCAATCCGAATCAATACCCATATATACTTCGCTCCACGTGTCCGGGACCGCATCTTCACCGTCCACGTCCCTCTCTATCAAAATCCAAGTCAGTGGTCTGTGTAACCACGTCTGGCGCGCATCCAACGGCAAAAAACATTTCAACGGCTGAGATGCGAAGCTTGCTTACGTCTCCTTCATTACTAGAAAGTCGCTTGTCGCTCAGCTTTTCGGTGCATATCTGTGGCAGAGAGGCTGGAGGGAGATTGAAGAAGAAGAAGCCTTCACTTGATGTTAGAGTCGGGCGGCGAGATGAGACAACAGAGCTTCGTTATCGAAACCAAGAACGGCCGCAGAAAGCGACTCAAAGTTCGGCGACTGAAGTACACGTGTCAAACGAAGGTCGAGGTGGAGATCACCGGCGGCCACAAGGAATATGGTTCTTCGGAGTTGAAGAGAAAAGAGAAAGATGTTGGTGTTCCGGTTAAGGTTTTGTCTGTGTCATTTTCGTCTACAGAAAACGACATCGTCTTGTCGAGTAGTTCCGGTTCCGGATCGGACGAGAGACGGAAAACGAGTGGTGGTGAGAGTTTGGAAACGTTGGGAAGGGGTACGTACGGCGTCGTTTCGGTGCAGGGGAGGAGGAAGGTGATGGAAGATGCAGTCAGAGCGGAGGTAGGGTTTCCGGTGAACGGATCACGTGGGAAGTTTGACTTCTTTGGGGTGTATGACGGGCACGGTGGGGCTGACGTGGCGAGGGCTTGCAGAGATAGGATGCATGAGGTGGTGGCGGAGGCAGTGGAACTGGAACGGATTAAAAATAATAAGAAAGATCAGGTGGATTGGGATTGGGAGAGGGTGATGGAGGTGTGTTTTGGTAAAATGGATGAGGAGGTGAGTGGGATCGCGGCGGCCAGGACGGTTGGGGCTACGGCGGTTGTGGCGGTGGTGAGTGAGGATCAGGTGGTGGTGGGAAATTGCGGTGATTGTAGGGCTGTTTTGTCGAGAGGTGGTGTTGCCTTGGCCTTGTCTAGTGACCATAAGGTAACCGTTACTCCCTCCGTCATTTTGTAGTAGTTTAGTTTCTATCTTTGTAATTTGTTCTTTTTGACAAAAGTAATTTGTTCTTTTTGACAAAAGTAATTTGTTCATATTAATATATTAGTAAAGTAGTTAAAAATTTATTGAATCTTCATTAACGCACGAACGGAATTTATACCTGACGTAATCTCTCTTACCACGATATGATTCTCCAGCTCATCTCAATTGATTTGAAGTTTTTAATTACTAATTAAGCTAGCTGGTTGATGAAGGGAAATATTGTATATTGACACACACAGAAATTCACAAGGCGAATATAAAAGATATATGTTGAAGAATTTTTTTAATCTCCCTATGTGACAATGCAGCTAGCTAGCAAGAATATACTTGAGGAGTGTCATATATACATATATAGATGAGCGTGCAAGAGGATTAACTTTTTCCTCCGTATTATATATCAAGTAATTAGTAATTAATTACGGGAAATTTATATATAATATATGTGTAGCCTGACAGAGTGGATGAGTTGAAGAGAATTGAAGCTGCGGGTGGAAAAATCATCAATTGGAATGGAAACCGTGTTCTCGGGGTGCTTGCCACTTCCAGATCCATTGGTAAGTATGTATATATAATTGGGTACCTATTTGAAATTAATTTGTAACCTTTCACTGATTTGGTGATATATTGAAATGGTGCAGGTGACAAATACATGAGGCCATATGTGATATCAAAACCAGAGGTGACGGTGACGAAACGAACTGAGGAGGATGAATTCCTCATCCTCGCCAGTGATGGGCTGTGGGATGTTATATCGAACGAGGTGGCGTGTAAGGTTGTGAACAAGTGCCTTGATGGAAGAATAAGGAGAATTTCCATACATGGGGAGGATCATCATCATGATCATGTCCGAAGTCGCAGTACGTCTGAGGCAGCAGCTGTCTTGGCTGATCTGGCTATGGCTCGGGGAAGCAAAGATAACATCAGTGTGATTGTTGTCGCCCTATCAAAAACGAGCTAGCGCTACTTTTTTATTTTATAGCAAATAGAGGCTATATGTATATACTTCATAAGCTCATATTCTTTACCCCTTTATTATTCGTTTTAATTGGAAATGTGAGCACTTTTTCCTGTGTGGACTGTGTTGTTAGCTATATATATGCTTCATTATTTTCGATGGAATGTATAATATCTTCAAAATACTTACTCTTTTTTTTTTTTTAAGTTATAATTATTTCTTGATTGCTGTGCTGTCTGCTATATGGATCTCCCTTATATAATATATATATATATAGAAAAAAAAAATTAGAAAAAAAAAGAAAGAGAAGGCCTAACACTAGTTTGCTATTTCCGATCAACAACACTATATCAAGTGAAAAAGTTATTACACGTGGCATAGTGTAATTGATCGGATATAGTAAAACAGTGTTATTCTCATTGCAAATAAGTGTTTTTGTTAGGACATTATTGAATTTGAGAAACCAAATGTGGTTTTTCTATTCAGAAGATCAGTTCCCCTATAAGTGTAGAGATGAATTTTGCATTTTTCTTAAAAACAATGGGCCGGCCCGAAGGCAGCACAGATGCATTTTGAGATTAGGGAATAATATAATATTATGATTTCCTTCTTTTATGTTATGAACTTATGAAAAGTTAGCTTTATAACATTAATACTGCTTCTTCTTCTTTTTTTATTTTTTTTTCCATGAGCAAAACTTTAGGAGGAGAATGGTTATTCTCATTACAAGCGTTAGGGCATACTCGAGCTGAAAAAATTTATACGTGCCATCCAACTGCCTACCACCAGTATAAATTTTTATGTAAGGGATTACAGATCGTACATCAATGATGACTGCTAACAACGAGACTCGAACATTTATATAAGACTGCAGCTCATTGAATTGTAACATTAATACTTGAACATACTTATTATACTGATTGATTGAGAACAAGTGCCAAACAACCCTTTTATATTCTACATGCATGCATGATGCATCGCATCTCCATCACATTTCAGTACTCTGTTTAAATAAAAATAATATTTTTGAAATATTGTGCCACGTGTTATTTGAATACTTTTTCCTTGTTCTCTGTTTCAACAAGTAGTTATATATGCGGATAATTTGGATTTCCCGGCATCATTATCTAATAAAATTCCCGATTATATTAAAAGATTTGTCACATCACTAATTAAAATAAACAGAATTATACAAAAAGCATACATGTTGGAATAACTTTCTAACTTTGTAATGGTTGAAGCAAACTAAAGTCTTTGAGTCTGCAATTGATACTAGGACACGCGTCGTGAAATTGTGAGTAGCCATTGTTATTATTTTCAACGTTTGGTTGGTGACGTAGTTTGCCAAATTGGCAAGACAGCTTTTATCATTCGGTGGTTTGCTAGGGCTTTTTCTTAGGACACGTGTTCATGTTTTGCTCGGTCAGGCAATGAAAAGCAATTAAGTTGGTAATTGGTTGCGTCTTATAATTGAAGCTATGGTCGAATACATTTGATGTATGGCATAACCTAACAAACCAAATTGTGCTTTCTGAATGGATACAATACAAATCCAAAAAGGCGAGGACAATTTTGAAAAAGAAAAACGTGTAACTAACTTGGAATTGATCCGTGAAAGAGACCACTGAACATTTGACATCCAAACGTTGGGTTATCAATTCAAGAGCTGTTAACAATCACAAAACACGTGGCAAAATACAATACTAGGATGAACATCGAAATAACCATCCACCGCGCACCCGCTTCACAGGTCTTTAAAAAGGTATTCGAGGACTCAAGCACTGCTCCACAAGCACTGCTCCACAATTGCTAAATATGTATATGAAAGTGATGTTTTACTTGGCGAAAACTCAATTGATGGAAACTCAACAATGGCCAAAACAAATGATGAATGGACATGCTGCTATAATGCAAAACAGGGGGCCCCGATGTGATCACATTTATGTGTCGGCAGTCAGGATTCTAGCTTTTATTCATGCACATGCAAGCGTGTCTCTCTGTTTGGCTGTTTGCTTCTATGTATATATATATATATATATATATATATATATATATATATATATATACATAGAAGCAAACAGCCAAACAGTGAGACAAGCTTGCATGTGCATGAATAAAAGCTAGAATCCTGACTGCCGACACATAAATGTGATCACAGTTATAGATTGATGTAGACGAAACATATTTAGTTTGAAGTTTCTCTCCCTTGCATTGCATTGCATTGCAGAGATGCAAAAATATGCAAATTTACTTGACATGTAGCTTGCATTGCAGGTAAATACATATACATATCCTTTTACCTAAAGAAGAGTGGATCATCAAAGATTTTTCTTGTTACCCAAAATACACACACGATCGGTGAACTTGTGGCTCAGCTGAGCTCTCGTGGTCTCAATTGGAAAAAAACAAAACCAAACTGTACAACCAACTATAAAAGAGCAAAGGATTCATAGATGATATGATACCATGTCACCACCATCTTTTACCCTAAAAAGTATAGTTTCATGATTATCATAAAAACGTGTGTGGTGTGGGGAAGACAAACTTGACACGTGATGATACCATTTTCCGGGGGTAAAAAAAAGGCATAAAGTTGGCTTAAACATGTAACACACCATATTAATGATTTAATGTAGAAAAACTCCAACCAGGAGGGATAATCCCAAAAAGTTCAAAAATTGCAATCATTATCTAATTTCGACCTATTTTTCCTCGTTTTCAATGACTAAGTTGAATGTACATAGAATGGAAATGATGTCGTGACTAAACTATAGAAATTTTTCACAGAAAATAAAATCAAGAAACATAAACAAAAGCACACAAGAAAATTTTATTCGAAAATGTTGTGTATAGTGGCTTGGCAAGGAAGTTATTAAAAAATTATTTTACACAAGCATACGCCTCACATCACATGTTTTAGGCTAACCCAATTGAGTTGCCATTTTTTTATTTTTTGACATGAAGAATGATTTGAATTTGGGATCTATTCCTCCATTGAAAAAAGAGAAATATGTTTACTCTTTCAGCATTCGAAAGAGAAATATTTGCTTGATTTAATGTCAGCCATCCATTGGACACGTTAATGGGTTAAATGTTATTTTTCTAATATATCATATGCGATAATAGCTGAAATTAGAAGACCTAAATTTTCCCTTTTAATTGCGTCATGGTGACTTTTCTTCAGGATGTAAAAAGTAATTACATTTTCTTTTTCTTTTTTAAGGAAAAAATAGAAAAGTAGTATTTATATATATATTTGGTCTGTACTGGCGTTCTCGTCCAAACCGAAATAAGGCAGCGAAGGAAAAACCAGAGAGAGGCAGAGGAAAGATATATCGAGAGACTTCATAGACGGAGAGTGTGAGACTGTGCATCTATTTATACAGTTTATACTGTTTCTCGTTTCCCGCTCACTTGAGGCCTCACGAAAACCCAATTTGTCATCAACCTCAGGCAAGATCAATCCTTCTCTTTTTTCTCTCTCTGTGTTTCTGCTTCTCTCTGTACATGTATCTGCTGTACGTTTCCCTTCTTTATTTCTTTGTAATCTTTTCCCCTCCGCAAGTTCTTACGAAAATAATGTGGGTTTTATTCTCTCTTTTTAGATTTTTAATTTTAAAAATTAATTTTCCTAATTTGTCGAAACAGAGTCGCTCTCTTGGGACCCTCTTTTGTTAATGACTTAAAACCCTAGTCCTACCGTTTGTTTCCCGGGAAAATCGTGGCCAAGAAAATCGAGTATGTTCCATTCCTTTATCGCGAAGTGTTACGAAAACTTCACTATGTGTTAATTGTTGAAAAGTCGAAACGTATGCTTCTTTTTTCGAGCGGTTGATCGGCAGCCAAACAGAATTTCAGATGGGATTCGTCCGATGAATAAGTGGACTTATATATCAATTTCCTTTTCTTTGAATGCCGTTTCTTGTTTTTGGTACTTGTCGGTACAGAGGATTTGAATGATAAGGTTTACTGTTTGTGGGGTTTTTCTCGGTGGTTAACTGTTTTTATTTGTCCTGACGGTGGTCAGTACTTTACTCTGCGGTGTTTGACTGGAAATTTTAAAAATAATATATTTTTCTTTGTTGCTGAGGTAATGCTGGAAATTGTATAAACCAGAAATTTAGTTCCGTTTATAAAAATGCTATTTGGGACCCATGCCCTTTAATGAATTAAATAGATATCAGATGATTCTTTCTTTCTTGTGATGGAGGTGCAATCTTTGTTTTCTTGTGTGATTGACTTGTTTTAACTCATGATCTTAGTGGCAGATAAAATGGCCTTTTTGGTTTGATATGATTTTGTTCAATTTAGATACTGAAATGGTAAAGATCTTGCATTGATTATGGTTTTAAGCCTAGCGTATTCTCAGTTAAGATTCATTTGCAAATCAAGCTTACTTTAGCAAAAAGATTTCAACTTTCCACTTTTAATTATGAATGTGGATTTAAATTAAACTCCTTTGCTTGGAATCGTTTCTGTGAATGTTCTTGTGGTATGTCGCTTTTCCCCCCCTTTGTTGTAGAACAAAACTATGGTCTCATTGTCTGGATTAATCTTATTGTATAACATAGATGCTTTAAGCTGGTGCAACATGAGTGCGTTTATGCTTGTGTGAACAGTCGTTTTTGATTCTCAAAGATGGTTTTTTTTGTGTGTGTGGATATTTTCTTTTCCCTTATGAATATCTATTGATTGTTAGAGACTGGAGACGGAGAAGAAAAAGATAATATATGGAGGGCGGCGCAGGAAGAGGTTTGGAATGCCAGAAGACTATGGATGGGAAGGCGAGTAACGGGAATGGTTCAGAGAAGGCCATCCCTTCTTGTTGCTTGAAGGCTAGGGCTTCTGCCCCCGAGGCCGATGCGAAATGTCATTCTACTGTTGTTTCTGGGTGGTTCTCAGAATCCCAGTCTCGCTCTGGTCATTATCTATAATTTTTTTCACCTTTTTAACTCTTCTGTTTCCTAAACAGCAAACTAGTACATAGTCGTGTTAGTTGGTCCAGGCAGGTTGAGATCATTGACCCCCTTTGTTTTGTTTTCTTTTTAATTGCAGAGAAGGATAGTAAGAAGGTTTATTTCAACAACCCAATGTGGCCTGGTAGGCAACTTGCATGCATCTACACTACATATTTCATGTTCTCATTTGTAGTCTTTATATACTTAGACACACACATGTTCCAGTTTTCCACT